ACACTCTTGCCCCGCTGCTGAGGCGGGGCCAGTAGCACCCTGCCTGGCTGTTCCAGCAACTCCCCAGGGGCCCAACCTCAGCCCAGGGTCGCTCCGCATCTGCAGGTGATGCTTGTCCACTTTAGTTGACATCACTTGCGCCTCCCTGGAGGTCGTTGTTTGGGGACTGTCCGTTTTCTCCTCCAGTCCTGAAGATGCAGCTTGGAGCTGAAGGCGCTGGGTAGCAGCTGTTCCAGCCTCCCTCCCGTGGGGACCAGACGGTCTCCAGCCACTTCCTCCTTTCACACGCGAGGCCTGCAGGCTGCGGAAGGGGAGCACGGGGCAGGCAGGTACACGGCTCTCCCAGCAGACTCGTGGACGTCATTCAACTTTATAGGTATCCTTGGGGCTTATTAGATCTGCTCTAGCAAACTGAGGCACGAGTGGCCTGACTGCTGGGCTCACGCCGAGTCGCTGCGCAGGCTGCAACCTCTCAGGCTCAAGGGACTTCAGGCTCTGATGAGGAGTGGGAGGAAGTGACCTCTGAGCCAAAGTATAGACTCTAGACCTCACAAGGGCAAGTCTCAGGGAAGCCAGTAATCCACATGTGTCCAAAAGGAGGCTCTGTCTCAACTGAGAACAACAGTGAAGTGATGGGGCCACTTGAAACAGAGCCTTAAAGCTGGTAGTCACTGAGGAAAACCCTAGCTCTAGAGGAACCACCTGAAGCGATTCGGTTAAGCAAATCACTGGGATGTGGCACTTTATAGCACTGGAACCTAAATGTTACATGAACTCTCTAGTAACCATGGAGTTATTTTCATGGGGTGGTGGTTGTTTTTATTTCCCCCTCATTCGCAGAAATCATTTATTTCCCTTGGCTGTTGGATGGAGAGAAACTGAAAAACAAATATTCCAATTTGATCACCGACAAAGTCATACAATTAAATGACTGTTTGTAGTGGAAAATATGCTTTCATTATCTTAATTAAGGCAAGATACGCATGCATTTCGGAGCCACTGAGTGGACGGGTGATCAGACAAATCAACCTTTAAATGGGACCATGCTTTTCCAGTACATTAGTTTGTGTTCCACTGCACAAAGCGAGCCTCCTTGTGGCTCTGACCTTGGGTGAAAATGCAGCCGTGGAACACAGTCCGATCGCTTCCTTGGTTTTCCTGGAACATCGTGAAAGACCCCAAGTTCTGTGAAAGATGTTGAACATGGAGGCATCTTTTAACCTATGGTGGTTTCAGTTTTGGTTGAGCTCCGTACATGTGTTTGAAACTTGTCATTCTATACCACACTAAAGGATAGAATCTTTATAGGTAATAACTATCATGGTCTACTTAAAAAAAAAAAAAAGCTGTCATATTTTTTATAAACAAGTTTTTAGTAAGGAGTACCTATAGTGTATTTAATGTAGGCCTAGCTGCTGGCAAGGTTTATTGTAAGGACAGAGAAGGACAAGTTTGTTAATAAAACAACGTCCTTTAAATATTTTAGTGTCCAGGCTGTAAGTTAACTTGAAAATATGGGTTAAAAATACAAGCAGCAGAGCCAGGTGGTGGCACAGAAGTAGCATAGCTGGAACCACATGGAAAGGGTCCTGGTTCACTTCCCAGGACCTCCCTGCATTTAAGGTGGATGCTGCCTATGATCTGGCTGGCTGGAACTGAGAGTGACTGCCACATGAAGACCTTGTTGGGCTGTGTGTGTGTATGTGTGTGTGTGTCATGCAAGAAATATATGAATTGGGACCAGCAGTTAGCATAATGGCTATGTTGCTGAATTCCCATGTAGTCTACCACAGTTCAAGTCCCAGACCCGGTGGCTTAAAAACTCACACTGGGCGCGTGTGCATGAGTGCCCAAGATCCCGAGAGGAGAATGGAGGAGAAGGGATTGTGGTGTGGCCATCCTCCCTGGGGGGGGGGGTGTGATTTCTCACTTTCTGTTTCTCTGTCTCTCTCTGTCTCTCTGGCGAGCGCATGTGCTCTATAGCAAAAAAGTCTCAAAATAAATAAATAAATAAATCTATGAATTAACTTAAATACCACAGGCATCAGCTCAGACGCCATGATGCATGCTGTTAGGACCATTCTGCTCAGATACTGAGGCCACATGGTAGTGTCAGCAGGGATGCCTGGTACAACTCCCAGTCAACCCAGGCAGGTCGGGTGAGGAAGCTCTCGCCTGTGGTCCTAGCTAGCTGGGAGACTGGGGCAAGAGGGTCCCAACACCGTGAGATTCCTATGTATAGGAGCATCAAGTGACTGGAATTCAGTGTCAGACAGACTGAATGTCTTTTACCTCCCAGAAGTGCCCTACTCTTTCTTCTCCCTTTGCTGACCCATCAGTTTAGAACATCTTGCATTTGGAGTCCTGAAATACCTAGGCATTAGAGCACCCCTGAGTGATAGCCTCCGTACTTTCTTCATGTAATAAATGACGGCATTGTTTTTTTGTGTATGGCCTTTTCCAGAGCTGAACGTTCCTGGAGTGCCGGGCATCACTTTGTTCCTCTCTGAACTCACAGAACCTAGCGTGGGGGCTGGCACATAAAAGATGCTCAATGAATGTGTATTGGATGAAGAAGTGGAAGCATGAATAAAAGATTTTTATTGTATTTAGTCATTTTTTCTTTTTTTTTAAAAGATAGACGTATGAAGGATAAATACAAATTACCTTGACAAAGTACTTATTAAGTATATAGTTTTTAAAACTCTGACCATCAGTGTCTAAATGAAACATCGTTTTAAAATCCTAGTCATTACAGTGAGCTACATCAGATCACCTTTGGACTTGATTGACCTTTGTCAGCAACATAAAGTAAAGACAAAAAATACTGGCAAAGGGCAGAGATCCAATTTTGTTTTCCTCTTTTTCAGCAAGATGGAGTGTTTACTGCATTTTGAAAAAATAAAATAAAAACGTAGTGCGCACTTATTCAAAGTAGATACTCTCAGTATTTTATAGTAAATATGTCATCGTATATAAAACCCAAACGTTTTCCAAATTTCCTTTGGATTTTTAATAGGAAGAAGTGTACAGCCCAAGATGACTGCTTTTCATTTCTCCAAGGCAAGGGTTCAGCTGGTATTGGGGAAACAATCTCTGTTTGTTCCTGTCTGCTCAGGGGGACTGTTTCTAATTGATCTGGCATGGAATTTAGTTGGAGATGTGTATGTTGCAACCCAAGCACAGAGCCTGTATGCTTTG